TCCCCCCAACAAATGCTTCAAGCCGCCACATCACACACACACACACACACTCACACACACAGGTTTGTTTTTGTGAAAAGTGGGGACATCCCATAGACGTAATGGTTTTTCTACTGTACAGACCGTATATTCTATTGCCCTACACCAACCCTACCCCTAAACCTACCCCTCACAGGAAACTTTGTGCTATTTCAGATTTTCAATACACTCCATTCTGTGTGATTTATAAGCGTTTTGAAAAGTGGGGACATGGGGTAATGTCCTGAAAAGTCACCTTCTCCTTGTAATACCTGTCATACCTTTGTCATTATACAAATTTGTCATCATTTGTCACAAAAACGCTCACACACACTCACACTCACACTCACACTCTCACACACACTCACACACACTCTCTCACACACACTCACTCACACTCTCACACACACACACACACTGTTGACACTCTATTGTCTCAGTGTTGTGATGATGCTGATGTGGGGATGATGGTCTCTCTCACAGGAAGTACATCTTCAGTTTCCACGAGAGTCTGCAGCGGTTGTGTTTCATGGGTCTGCTGCAGTTTGGCCCCACTGAGAAGTTCATGGATAAAGACCAGGTGAGCTCGTCTGGGTCACATGATCACCGCTCAGGTGACGCTTGTCGTGTGTTAAACTAACGACAGGCTCGTGTGTGTGTCAGGTGTTTGTGTTCCTGAAGTCGAAGGCCAGGATCGTGGACACGACGGTGTGTGACCCGCACTATAACATGGCCATCGAGAGCCTGCGTCCGTTTGAGAGGAGACACTACGTGTTCAGCAGCGCGCAGGAGGTGGAGAACTACTGGTTCGACCTGCTATGTGTGTGTCTCAACACTCCTCTAGGTACAGACACACCGCCTGCATTAACAGTGCGCTTCCTTTGGTTCACTGAGCTGCTGTGAACCGCTGGTGATGACCTACACACAACACAATTTTGTTTATATCTATATATATATCTATATATATCTATCTATCTATCTATCTATATATCTATATATGTATATGTGTGTATATATACAGGGCCTAAAATTAACACTCGCCAAATGCGAGTAGCGTTGGCGAGTCCATGTAACAGTGTCAGTCGCCAGTTTGCGGGTACAACTTTTACGAATTATAACAATGCAATCTAGTGGGAACAACAGCCCGTTTTTAAAGAGATTCGCTGTTTCTGACATAAGCGAATAAAATAATATTTTCCGAAGACAAGATCATCGTGATTAGCTGTTCTGTCATAAGCGACAAGAGCGAATCCAATAATAGGATACAAACGGGCTGATAAGGTCAGAGCAGTGTGATGGCCAGCTTGTCCCTAGACACGGTTCTAATAACTTTTACCTGAGAAGATTTTGCTGATTCATTTCTTTTCCCTTCTTTATTCTTCATAACCCGAGAATGCGGCGACACATAGGCTACCTGGGGTTACGCCGCCTAAACGGTGCAGTCAGTGAAGTATAGTTTGAAAGGTTGTGCGTTAGGCTGTACACATACGCTGAGCCGCTGCAGACCGCTCACCAGTAGCGCTTCAACGCACGAAAACACACACAATTATGTCAAATTGCGCGGTTTTGGCGAGTTACCTTGTAAACGTAGTCTTAAACGAGGTATAAAGTCTTAAATGACCATAACGAGTTAGGAGAGAATCAGATATGTGTCAGATCTGCATCATATGCATCAGGTTTTAAAGAGACAGCGCTGATTTTAAAGTGAAACCTGCTGAAGTCTGTCATTGATGTATATCTTTTATAGCTTGAATAAAGATTAATCTGTATAGTTTATGCATATATAATATAGTTTATGTGAAGATTGTTTTAAAATCACTTAAATTAAAAGTTGTTATATAGCCTATTTCAGAGCCTATTAAATGTTAAAAATAATGGCTTTCAATTATACTGTAATGTTGAATGGCTATAATAGGTAAAATTGAGGGAAAATGCACCAGCAGGACAAAAACATTGTAAATATGTTTAGTCACTGTAGTAGTAATGACTGCCTGTTTTTGCAAAAAGTTTCATGGCCGGTAAAAAAATTTTTGCCCGGTAAATTTTATCATGTCACCGACCATTGGCAGGTGTGGCAAAAAGTTAGTTTTAGGCCCTTTGTGGGTGTGTATATATATATATTATATATATACAGTATATAGCCTATGTATATGTGTGTATGTAGATGGCACAAGCGTGTAAATGTATAAAAAAAGTAACAACGGAGAGTCTTTAAAATCCCTCTTTTGTGTGGAACTACTTCCTTCCGCCACAGATTCAAATCTAAAGTTGACAGTTGAACAGCTGAGCCAAGCCTCCGTTACTAATTACAAAACTTCACTTTAGAACTAGTAACGAAGGAACGATGAGTTGCTTCATTAAAAGCTTATTGTATTACTGTATTAAAAGCTGTGTATTATGTATAGTAGAGTATTATGAGAGAGAGATGGACTGAGAGTGTGGTTACCTGCATCTGATACAGCATTCGTTCTTCAGCTCAATC